GAACACATAACACGGACAGGACACAAAATCGAGTGAAAATCGATAGATAATTTGGCTGTATAAAGAGAAAATATTAGAAAATGCAAAATATCAGAAACCATCGATATCCTGATTGAAAGAAATCAAATGATCAGGAGACTTGAATAAGGCAGGATTAGTGAAAACTTTGTATCTTGCATAAGCAAACTCGGAGGAGATCAAGAAATAGTATGATTAACAAGAAGAAGACGATTCTATAAGGGTTAGGGTTAATTTTAGGAAAAGAAATTGCATGTATACCAGAGAAGAACAATTGCGAACCAAGAGGAGGCGTCTACTGTGAACCTATGCAAATCAAGTATAACTATGACGTTTGGGGGTTGGCACACAGGAGACTAGAGCATAAGAAAGTCAAGTGCTTGGCATTATGGATAGACAAGCAAGAGATTCGGCAGAGACCTTCGATAATATTAGTTTTATCAAAGAAGTGGTCCATTAATGAAAGGCTTAACCATGGTCACATGCGGCATGATGATAAGGGAATCTGCAGCGTAAGGTTGTTTCCTGCTACTTGAGAATTCAACTTTAGAGGTTTGTTCAGTGAGGCTGGAGTATACATGCTATCAAAGGCTTGAGGCAGAGTGTAGCATATAACGCCTTGAGTAGCACGGATATGATGAAATCACTGAACCCAGCAGATAAAAGCCGGATCCTACGGAGCTAAAGAGAGACTTTGATATGACTTGAAAGAAGAGGATTACGGACTAAACTGCAGCCTTGGATCAACACACCCAGCACAAATGGGATTAATTTAGGAAGCAATGTGAATCGCAAATAGGTCTGAACTTGGTTTAGATAAACAAGAAATAGTGATATTGAAGTGATGTTACGAGGATATAGGATACGTGAATATCCCAGAACAAAAGGAGTGATACCAAACTTGTTTAGAGGACAAAAAAGGTTAAATGATCGAATTCGCTTGTATCTTTGACGAGTTTTAGTGTGGTGCTAATAATGGCATAGCTGTTTAAGGATGCTGGCGAAACGTTTGGGAATGTACCAAATCCACAGTCTGACTGTAAATTTTCATGCATAATATTGATTAAGGACAAGGTGCTTTTCTCTGCTTTCCTGCCAATATGACTAAATTTCGAAAACAAAGTTAAACAACTATCATACAACGAAAGGCTTTCACTTTTCCCACAAAAGATTTATTATGGGCAATTTATACTAAACTTTACGACAATTATTATTACTCATTTCTTTTTCCAGTTACAATACCTCTATTTTGAATCATAATTCCATGTTTTCTTTTTTCTCTTTTAATTTAAGTTGGATCTAGAGGAGCAAATGCTTCGTGGCCTTAGGCCTGAAGGATGTCGGACTTACGGGCCCACTGTTGAGTTTCTGTCAGGTATAAGCTATGATCCCACGCATATGGAACCTGATTGCATAGATGTCCACTTGAGCATTCCAACCTCACAGCTTTGTGCACATGGCGCTTTATTGAGGCATTTTCTTCACATTAAGGTGATCCTTTCTTACATAACTTTCAACAAAACTTTTAGATATATTTACCACTTGATGTCTCTTAAATATTTTTTTTACTTTTCATTAAGCTCTATTTTTCGAAATGCATTATTCATTGAATATGAGCACTGTGTTTATCCCACCATCATTTGAGTATGCTTCATGTTACAATTGAATTTTGCTTAGCCTTGTCTGCTGAACGCCTTTCTCATCCAGTGCCAACTGTATTTTAGACCTGGCCTAAATTTCACTAGCACATCTAGCGGGATTTGATATTGGGTCGTGAGTATTTTTGTGATCTTATCACTCCACTCCATTACGTGGCACTGAGGCCTACTTACCTCACTGTGGAAAAATGTAACTATCAGTCATTAATTCATCCTGAGCGTTCTAGAGTGATTAAGCTATGATTCAAAAAATACTGATAGTCTCGAAAATCTTTATTCATTTATGCATAGTTCAGATTAATTAAAATGTAAGTCTACAAAAGATCAAACCTTCATGGGGAAAATACCCCTTCGTTTATGTTCTTATGAGCTGGCTAACTATAGCCTTGCAGAACATTACTAAACCATCCTCTCTGATGAATTGATCATATTTTCCAATCATTATCAGAGTTTTCATTACTTTTGATTAAGCTGGAGCATGTTTTTGAGCCCTATTAAAAAGCCATTGTGGTGTTTAGTTTTTCTGAATTAAAAAAATTATTCTGCTTTTTTCTTTAGGAAAATTATTTAGGTACCTTCCAACGACCAGTTAACTTTTTTGGCGTTCCATTGCAATCAAAGGACGATACTTTATTCGAGATTACTCGGTCAGAAAATTTGGAATCTAAATCTTTATTTGCTCCAGAGCGCTTTAATTTATATTCGGAGAGGAACGAAGGTGGTGAACCAAATACTTTCAGTCAGAAGATCAGTCCATCTAATTGGATAGTCGACCCTCGAGAATTTAGACCTCTATCTGCTCGAGTCACTTTGGCTATTCACAACCTTCAAGTGCATCTACCAATGGTAAAAGTTTAATATTATTTAATTACTTCGTTATCTTTTAAGGCTTATATTTAGGAGAATTGATTTCAAGCCTACTTGTAGTAATTTTTTCTTCTTAAAATGACAAAATCCCTTACCATTGTTAAAATCATTATGGACTATAAGTACTTTTGAAGCACCAAGAATAATCATGTATTTTAGAGGGTATGAAGACCAAAATGGTTTGGCCGCAGTCCCCTTTCGTTTTATGGACGTTGTTTGATCTTGTTTTCGCAACTTGGTCACGTTGATAAGAAGACTAAGAGGAAGGCACCTAGTCCGGAGCCCATTGTATGCATGATCATTTCCAAAGTAGAACCGTGGAAGTAGTACATTCCCAGACGTTTCGCCGGCATCGTAGTCAGTTTCGTCAGTGAGTCTCGCCATTCTTAGCACCACACAACAGCTCGTCGAAGAGACAAGTGAAGCCGATCCTTTAACCAAATGTGTGCTAAACAGTTGTGGTATCTCTCCTTCTGCCCTGGGTTATTAGCATTTCCTGTATCCTCCTATCACGCCTTCACTGTTACAATTTTTACCGTGCTAATTTTGATGTAGTGTGGTGTGCACCTTTGAACGGCATTCATGAAAACCCTTCACAATTCATACTGTCGTTCTCACCTCCTTCAGCCTTGCGCTGGGAATGTTGATCAGAGTCTACCATATTGTTACACAGTCCTCCTTGCCTAGGTCTAATCACAGTCTCTCTATTGCCCTTTCTGCTCTCCCTGATTCACGTATTTTACTCGAATTTTCCAGGCTAAAGCCTCTGAGTAGGTCTCATGGTCACGTCTTTGCTACATGGGCCACGTCTTTGGTAAAACATACTGTCAGCTTATTTAAATTCGGATTTTATGAAAACCAGATCAGGAATCAGAAGGACGACAATAAATGGATTTGCTTGCCCTCATCAGAACTGATCCATCAATTGCGACCTTTACTAAGGAAAGAGAATATCAAGGTGATATCAAAGAAGAAAACACTTTTCACCAGTCTGCCGACGCAACATGAGAAGACGGACAAACTTGATTCCTCGTGAATCGCATCAAATGCGGCAACTATGAGCAGAGGTATATTGGGGTTTCAGGAAGAAATATCGGCCTACAATCAAAGAACATCATAGACTGCAGGAACATGGATATGAAAAGATCCGAAATAGCGGAACACATTGCACGAACGGAGCAATAAATTGACTGGAAATTGACCAAATGATTGGTTGCATATGGTTAAAATACAAGAAAATGCAAGATCCGAGAGGGCATCAATATACTGACCGACAGAAATCTAATTAGCAGAACTTGAAGAAGGCATGATCAGCAAAACTTTGCATATTGCCTAAACAAACCTAGAGAAGACAAGGAAACAGCAAGATCAACAAAAAGAAGATGATTGGATCAAAGTAATATTCTGAATTTTAGGAGCAAAGATATCGCAAGGGGACGAGAAAGGAACAATCGGAAGCAAAGAGGAGTCGTTTTTAGTGAGCCTAATCAAATCATGTAGAACCACGACAATTGTAGGTTGGCACACAAGATACTAGGACATAGGAAGTGATAGACATGGCATTACAGATAGAAATAGGAAAGACGCGGTGGAGACTAAAGCTATTTGTCTAACAATAGACGTGTTTGATAATAGACGTGATCCCTGAACCACGACTAATGTTAGCGAACTAGCTCTAGCTTCTACTGCTTCTATCTTTTTTTTATATATAATACCAAGTCTATGACTTCCTATGCCCTAGTTTCTTGTTTTCCAACACAAACGTTGTAGTTCAATATTAAACCTAATCAAAGCAAGCAGTACCACAACATTTGTGGGCTGGCACACAAGAGGCTATGACATGAAAAGTTATAGACTTGGTATTAGGGATAGAAACATGATAGACACAGCGGAGACTGGAGCTAGTTAGCTGACAGTAGGTTTTACCCAAGACGTGGTTCATGTAGCAAAGGCGTGATCATGAGGCTTACTCAGAGGCTTTTGCCTCGAATTAGTCACCTAGATACAGGGAAGGGCGAATAACACCTCGAGTGGCACATGGGGTGGCAAGGGTCGAGTGAAATTCGTGAACCAGGGCGAGAGCAGACGGATCTTACAAGGCAAGAGAGATACTGTGATAAGACCTTGGGAAGGAGAACTACGTAACAATATGGCAGACTGATCAACATTCCCAGCACAAGGGTGAAGAGGTGAGAACGTCAACGTGAAGTATGACGGGTTTTCATGAATGCCACTCAAAGGAAAACACCACACTACATCTTAATGAGCACAGTAAAAATTGTAACAATGAGGACGTGATAGGAGGATATAGGAGATGTGAATAGCCCAGGGCAGAAGGGGAGATATCACAACTGTTTAGCACACGTGTGGTCAAAGGATTGGCTTCACTTGTCCCTTTGACCAGTTGTTGTGTGGGGATAAGAATGCCGAGACTCACTGACGATGCTGATTACGATGCCGGCATGCGCCACGTCCACGGTCCGACTTTGGAAATAATCATGCATACAATGGACTCCGGACTAGGTGCTTTCCTCTAAGTCTTCCTACCAATATGATCAAGTTGCGAAAACAACTTCAAACAATCATTTATTTTATTTAGAATTTTTTTAAATTATCCTAAAACCTTCCAATAATTGCTGACCAAGCTCTACTTCAAGCATCAGTAGCCTATCAGAAACGCTGCCTCGGTGCAAATTAACTTATTGTTTTTATAAAAAGTCATACTCTTTTTCCTAGTGAGAGGCGCTATCCTCTGTTTCGAATCGCCCCTGGATTCCAATCAACATTTTCTCTTATCCATCCCCTTCACTTTTCTTGTTAATTGTTGCCTAATTCACTTAAAAAACGGTAGGATCATCAATAAGATGACGCCTAGCTCATGGAAAATACTCGAACAATATGAAGATACATCGTCAGGAAGGGTATGTTTATAGACAGATGGAAGTAAAAAAACCACGATTGCATTGAGATGTGTTAACCCTAGGTTAAGCTTCCAAACGTTAATC